AATTAGGCATTGCCTTATAGCCAGATGATAGGATCCCCCTACCACATGTAAATAAAGAAAGCATACTATGAGCACCTATCATGTAAAACCTTGGCTGCCGCCTCTGCCCTATATTTTTCCCTGACCCCCACTGAATAAACGAGCTGTATCACTGAAACTGACTCCTGGAAGGTCTTTTCCATCATGCTCACTGGCCATCCTGACCCGGTTAGTCACCTCTTCTCCCTTTGTTCTCGAGGATCAGTGGCCAACAGACCACGAGGGAAGGGGGAGACCCACGAGAATCTCAGGAAGTGTGCATGTCATCTTTCACGTACAAGGCTAATGACAACAATTTGCTCATCTTTTCCTGCATCTTCATTTAAAGCCAAGCTTAGTTCTCACTTATTTTTGCACTTCTCCCTGTGGAATAGAAAAAAAAGAGTGCTGATACCATTTTTAAGCATCCATATTTATCTGGACATAGAGGCACAGAGTTTTAATCCCAGCAGTTAGGAGTGTACAGAAGCTTTTTAGTTTAATGAGGTCCCATTTGTTGATTCTTAACCTTGTTTCCTGGGCAGTTGATGTCTGGTTTAGAAAATCCTTTCCTACACCTATATCTTGTAGGTTATTGCTAATGTTTTGTTCTAACAGTTTCAGAGTTTCAGGCTTCACAATTGAAGTCTTTGATACATTTGGAGTTGACTTTTTTGCAAGGTGAAAGATAGGGGTTTGGTTTCATTCTTCTACAGATGGAGATCCAGTTTTGCCAGCACCATTTACTGAACATGCTGTCTTAACATGATAGACATTTTTAGTTGTGTAATCTGGGTTGACATCAGTGGTCATTTAGAACTGGGAATACTTTGGTCCAGGCTCTTCTGGCTTTTCATTGCTGTCTTAACATGATAGACATTTTCAGTTGTGTAAAGTAATCTGGGTTGACATCTGTGGTCATTTAGAACTGGGAATACTTTGGTCCAGGCTCTTCTGGCTTTCATAGTTTGGACTGAAAAGTCAGCTGTGATCCTCATGGGTTTTTCCCTTACATGTGACTTGTTGTTTTTCTTTTGCAGCTTTCAGTATTGTCTCTTTGTTCTGAAAGTTTAGTGTTTTTACTATGATGTGCCATGGAGAGTATCTTTTCTGGTCCTCTCTATTTGGTGTTCTATATGCTTCTTGTATTTTTATGGGCATGTCGTTTTTAATTTTTGGAAATTT